TGCTACATTTATGGCAATGTAACGTGACAACTTTTCCTCACTATTGCCAGATTATTGAACAGGTAACCGAGAAGACCTGGGGACAAGGTTGAGTTGTTTTGTTGCTTCATGAGCAAGGAATAGGCGAACTAATGGCTAAAAACATAGCAAGAACACCAAGAAGACAACTCAACAGATGACATCTGCTATTTGGAGAATATTTGCAGAACTGAAAAACCCTAATTATCTCTCAAACTTGCTGATAAACAGGCAGTTAAAGATTGACTTAACATCCATGGAGGTATAAGTGGTGTTAGCTATGTTTTTAAACTAGGAATTATTTTGAATGAATAATAAAACAATTATTGAATTTGGCTTTCGTATCATCTGAAGAATTACGGAGATCAAGGGGGGTGTTATCCACCTTGGCCTTTGCGACCTCAGTGGATAACACCCTTCTTGATCTCCATAATTCTTCAGATACTCAGCCTCATTCAATAATTGCTAAATGCATATTGTGTATTCTTTTTTTTAATAATTATCTTATGATGAATTGAAATCCTTGAATTTTCTATGAAAAATATTTCAAGAATGCCATGATGCAGAACTTGAGCTCTTAATATTAATATTTTCTTTTTTTTTCGTTTTTCATGTGCTGCACTTAAAAATCCAAAATCTGAGTGAGTCCAGGGGTGGGTTGAATTTTTTTCTCTAAAGCAACTGAACAGCATCACCACTGTTTTTGCCTGACAACAATCCTCCATTAATTTCCCTGTGACTTGATTTATCATGTGATTATTTTTCTGTTGAACTTCTTCCTATCAGTTTCAGCACAAGCTGGTCAAGAAAAATTAGCTACCAAGTTCATTTAAACCAATCAGAAACAGAGAAATATTTTGAAAGGATATATGATAAAGATATTTATGAAAAGAGTTATACTACTCATGTCAAAACACATTCAAGTTTAACTCTATCTGTTGTGCTTGTATCAGCTGCCCAATTTTGTTTTCAAGCACTGGCCATAGCATTAGACCTTTTTTTAAAAAATACTTTCCCTTTTTTCACCCACAAGTACTTGTCATACAACTATTATCTCCATTTTTGTCACCTCGACTTACCATTATTTTAACATTTCTTTTCTCACTGGCATTTAGGGAGCATAAACTCACATTTCTTATTTGCTCTTTGTCAATTTTCATTACACTTGTTATTGACATGAAATATACTATTGTCAATCAAGCCTTCAAATTGTTGGGGAAACAGGCGCTTTAATTTCTGACAATCACCTTCTCTGAAAATTTGAAAGCACAGGAAGATCGCAGCTCTGGGAGGATTAAAAAGTGCAATCAGTAGGGTAACTATAAAGCAAAAGGATGAAGCCGGGGTCTGGGGAGGGGGTCTGTTGTGACTCATGTACCATATATCCTAAGGAAATTGTAGTGCTGACACTCCCCTCTTACCCCACCCCCCTAGATAGTTGTTAATAAAATCAACCTTTTGTTTCTAATTATCAGATTTTGATGTTCATCATAAGCAGTTATTTAAATCAACTGAGCTGTGCCTGCACTGAAATGTGAGAATCTAATGATGTCTGCAAATGGAATTCCACAAGTATAATTCTTTTTAAATTTTGTAATTTGCTCTTTCATTAATTTTTCCATGAGCTACTTTATGTAAGTTGCTTTAATTTGTAAGACCTAGAATCAGTGTAAGCATACAGTGTATAGTGTTTGCTCTTTGGGGCTTGAGGATTTGCTGTTATGGCATTAGGCAACTTTAATTTCCCCTCACCTACTAACCACCCCAGGCAAAATACTTCAATCAGGGGGCCCTTCACGAAATTTTTTATAGCTTAGGAATAAGAAAGGCCAAAAATTGCTAGATGACTGTTCATGTGTGATTTGTTAGGTTTCTTTATTTCGCTTATTATGATTTTTAAAATTTCTTATTTTACTCTCTCTCTCCAGATATTGTATAAATCATTTTATCCGAGGGGATCCTTGATTTTTTTTTTGTCTCAAAATAGTGATGTAAGACGGTTTTAGAGAATCTTATTCTTTTGTAAGCTATAAGTTTCTAGAAGAAACAACAGGAAATTGCTAAATATATTTTAAAAGGATGAAGTTACCATTAAAAAGGACAGCCAAAAATTAATAAAATGAGTAAAAAAGGCTCAATATCCAGATGCAATTTCTCCAGACTGATCTCCCAACATTTCCTTGAAAAAATAAGTTGAGAGAATTTGATAAAAGATCAATTGAGCATTATTTTCTCTTTGATGATTATTATAGTTTATTAATATTCTCATAACCTTTTCTGCTCTTGATTGCTCCACAAATGTCCAGTGCTGGCCACAAGATCCCTACTTTCCTTTTTCATCCTTAGTTCCACACTTCTCAGAGGTGTGGAAGTGTAGAAAAGTCTGTCAAAGTCAGGATAATGTCACACTTTTCCCCCTGTTAAGAACCCCTTGTCATTCTTTACTTAGTTCTACACTTCTCAGAGGTGTGGAAGTGTGGAAAAGTCTGACAAAGTCGGGATAATGTCACACTTTTCCCCCTGTTAAGAACCCCTTGTCATTCTTTACTTAGTTCTACACTTCTCAGAGGTGTGGAAGTGTGGAAAAGTCTGACAAAGTCAGGATAATGTCACACTTTTCCCCCTGTTGAGAACCCCTTGTCATTCTTTACTTAGTTCTACACTTCTCAGAGGTGAGGAAGTGGGGAATAGTCTGACAAAGTCAGGATAATGTCACACTTTTCCCCCTGTTAAGAACCCCTTGTCATTCTTTACTTAGTTCTACACTTCTCAGAGGTGTGGAAGTGTGGAAAAGTCTGACAAAGTCGGGATAATGTCACACTTTTCCCCCTGTTAAGAACCCCTTGTCATTCTTTACTTAGTTCTACACTTCTCAGAGGTGTGGAAGTGGGGAATAGTCTGACAAAGTCAGGATAATGTCACACTTTTCCCCCTGTTAAGAACCCCTTGTCATTCTTTACTTAGTTCTACACTTCTCAGAGGTGTGAAAGTGTGGAAAAGTCTGACAAAGTCGGGATAATGTCACACTTTTCCCCCTGTTAAGAACCCCTTGTCATTCTTTACTTAGTTCTACACTTCTCAGAGGTGAGGAAGTGGGATCCCAATAGTCTGACAAAGTCAGGATAATGTCACACTTTTCCCCCTGTTAAGAACCCCTTGTCATTCTTTACTTAGTTCTACACTTCTCAGAGGTGTGGAAGTGTGGAAAAGTCTGGCAAAGTCGGGATAATGTCACACTTTCCCCCGTGTTAAGAACCCCTTGTCATTCTTTACTTAGTTCTACACTTCTCAGAGGTGTGGAAGTGGGGAATAGTCTGACGATGTGGTGTGCAATGTTGTTAATTTTATTTAGTACTATAACGATCTCAGTTTCATTTAATAGGTCGTCGGCCAGAACACTGAAACTTATTTTAATCGTATCACTGACTGAGCTATTTAATCACGGTAATTAATCCTTTGGCGGCATATAAGTGCATTCAAGCATGAAGCGATATACAGACGTTTTGATGTTGTCATATGACCTCTTTGTGTTTCACCTACAGATTGACACAGAAGTTTGCGAGCAGACCTTCTCTTGGCTGTCAAAATATGCAAAAATGACAAGGAAAATGAACAGAGGACACTTCGTCTTTTTCATAATTTATGTCCAGCATTTACATAACCTTAGAGAAGAGGAAAAACTGAGAAACAGTGGATATATGGCGTGATCTAACAATGATCAAATTTGAACCCTTACTGATAAGGAAGAAAGCATGGTTGGTGATCGGATTTCTTAACTTTAAGTTTCTTTCAACAGCTGGCATTGAAACAATGGTTATATCTGCTATTCAAAATAAAAATAGTTCTTAAGGAAGAATGTGAAAAACCATACAGAAATAAAACCAAGTGCTCATAAAGCTTACTGAGCTTCTCGTGACTCAGGGAAAGTGCGAAATTAAACTTAACTTGTCAGACTAATCTACAATTCCACACCTCCGAGAAGTGTAGAACTAAGTAAGAAGTGAAGAAACTCTGGATTTCATGGCCAGCGCTGGACATGGCTCGATTGCATGTATCATATTGGTATTGTTAGGAGAATATTGATGTGGGTCACTCCTGGGATAGCCAGTGATTTGATTGACAGAAGGAAATGATTATTTTGTTCTAATGTCGTTTGTTGATTTTAGGTGACCAAATTTGTAAAAGGAAAAATAAACGAGTAAAGTGTTGTCAGAGGGTATGTTAATGATTTCATTAATTTATATATGTGTTTTAAATACTGGTAGGCTACCTGGTAAATATTTTCATGGAAGTGATATCAAGGTAACTTAAATTGAGCTGAGCTGTGTAATACTAGTCTGAGCAATACTGATTTTTTAGCCTCCCACGCAGATGTTCTTAGGGGTTTGTCACACATTCCTGCCCCACGAACATCTGCTGTTAGCAATCGAGAATTTTTGACTTGTTTATTTATCCTGGATCGTATCGATCGATCGTGAACTCCACTCTCAAACGTTCAGAGCTAATATTTGGCTTAAGTTTTCAGAATTTTTCGACAAACTACCTCTAAGAATCCTTCTTGATGTGCTCTTTCGTGTGTTCAGGAATTCTAAAGCGTCTTTTTATGCCCAGACATCGTCATTCATGACATTTTAAAACTTCGTCGCCATCTTGAAACGGAGACGTACGGCAGGTTGCCATGGCAATTTAGTAATTTCACATGTGAAATTACAAATTAACGCTGAAATTTCGCGCCAAAATTAAGGAGTAATTCGTCACCTATGATATTATTATTATTGTTATGCTGAATACTGTACCTTTGGATATGAATATGTGTGGTTCAATTTCACCCCTGGTTTTTGTTTAATTTTTTTTTGTCTTAAACTCATTAACTTACTTTACATTACCCAAAACCATAAAAAATCACAACAAAAAGGGTATATATGAAAGTTTATATTGTGTTATTATTCTCTTACGTGTAGGGACGTTTAGTAGAACTATTCATGGCTACTTCAGCACCATCACCGCTGGCCAGTTCTGTGGAGAAGACAAATGGAGCCAAGCTCACCAGGCTTCTCATCGACGGTGGAACAACAGGTCTTAGGAAGATTTTTGATAGTCATCATCCTCCTGCAAACTTGGCTGCTGATCTCAATGCCAACAAATCTATTCTTAGCAGCTTATTGAAAAAAATGGTTTTGCATAAACCTCAGTGGGACAAACTGGTCCCACCTGGTGGAGTCGCTCCAGACTCTAACACTTTTGATATCACCCTTCTATATCTCCTTCTGACCAACATTTGTGGATTGACCCCTCCCCCCTCAGGATGGCACGCTAAACCACCCCCAAGTGACACGTCTCATGAGGCTAACCTTGCACGGGTTAAGTTCTATCGCAATGTCTTGTATGGTCATGTGACAACCACTGGTGTTGATACACCAACTTTCTCTGCTCTGTGGACTGAAATTAGTGGTGTTCTTGTGAGTCTTGGTCTTGATCAGGCGGAAGTTGATAAGTTGAAGGCAGAGAAAGGTGGAGAGCAAGATTATATTGACGTGTTGATTGAGTGGGCTGACAGTGAAGAGGATATCAAGACACAGCTGGAGAACATAAATCAGGTTCAGAGCAAAACCCGTCAAGCAGTTGAAGATGTACGTGAGGCACAATTTAAGACTCAGAAGACAGTGAAAGACATACATCAGACCCAGGCCAGTACTCAAAAGACAGTGGAAGACATACAACAGACCCAGGCCGGTACTCAAAAGACAGTGGAAGACATACAACAGACCCAGGCCGATATTCAAAAGACAGTGGAAAACGTGCGTCACACCCAGGCCAAGACACAACAAAGCGTTGCAGAAGTGTGTCAGAACGTGAAAAAAGTTGAAGCTGGTCTCAAGGAATTAAAAGAAACAGTGGGTAGTTTAAAAGAAGGAAAAGACAAGGACAGGGCAGACGAGGTCCTTCGAAATCTCACCAAGTCGGAATTCAGAGGAGACATTGAGTATTACGTGCAGAGATTTCAAGAAGGCACGCGTGAGTGGGTCTTTGACAGAGTTCAGAACTGGCTGGATGACAGAAGCTCTCAAAACCGCGTGATGGTAATCAGTGGAAATGCAGGGATGGGAAAATCTGTCATCGCAGCTGTGATTTGCAAGAGAATGCAAGAGGCTGGCAGACTGTCAGGAAGCCATTTTTGTCAGTATAACAATGTACGCTACTGTAAGCCTCAGTTAATGATTCAGTCGCTTGCCTGTCACTTTTCCCATGCGCTTCCAGAGTACAAGCAAGCTCTTGTGGAACAACTGTCAAGAAATCTGGGTACAGATCTCAACAACATGGGTGTGGAGGAGTTGTTTGCAGTGCTTTTCAAGGAACCTCTTAGTGCTGTAGGTGATCCAGGAAGAAACATGCTCATGGTGATAGATGGTTTGGATGAAAGCGAATACCAAGGACGAAATGAGCTTCTTGATGTGATTGCAAATCAGTTTTGTAAGCTTCCTATTTGGATTCGTTTTCTTGTCACGACGCGCCCAGCCTTAAACATTGTAGAGAAACTAAAACATTTGAAGCCGCTTGAACTGAAGTCTGATGGTGAAGAGAATCTAGAAGATGTCAGAGTATTTTGTCTAAAACGACTGGAGCACGTGGTCAAACCAGCGAATGTCGGCGAGTTTGTAGAAAGACTAGTTTTGAAATCTGAAGGACTGATGTTGTACACCCATTTTCTCATTTTGTCGATTACTGAAAATGCATCAATTTTCCACAAGGAAGACCTTGTCGGCAGTTCGCCATTAGGAATTTCTTCAATGTATCATTCCTATTTCAAACGTTTGGAACGTGAACTCTTGAAGGAACTCGACATAAAGGAAGAACAGTTCCTGAATCTGTTGTCTGCCATTACTGCTTCAAGGGAGCCCCTGTAAGTGAGTTTAGTTTCTAAAGTATTAGTATCAGGTACCAATTCACCACTTACAAGGCGTAAAGTACTGAGAGCATTAAATAGTGTTTCCGCTCTTCTTCCTGTCCGTAACGATTGTCTTCATGTCATTCACAAGTCAGTTCAAGACTGGTTAACAGAAGTTCCAAGGTATGGTGAACATGAATTCATCGTGGATGAAAATCAGGGACACCGTATACTAGCAGCTCTGTGTACTGACGAGCTTGAAAATTTGAAACTGAAAGGTGTACATAACGTACAATTTAGCGCCACTGAGAGGTACGCGCTGTACCATGGTGCACATCACATGCTACACAAAGGCGTCAAGAGAGAGCCACATAAGCTGGACGAACTGACAAAGGCTTGCATTTTAGATTTAGAAATAGTGTATGCCAAGACCTACGTAAACAGCACATTAGCCGCTGAGGATCTCGTGTGGCTGAAAAAGCAGGGGATTTTTACATTGTTATCAAAAGATAACCAAAGTATTCTGAACACACTGTTGTTTCTATTAAGAAAAAACCTCCGTTTCCACACAGATTTCCCTCGTAGGTTTCTTCAAACCATACTTAACCAAGGAGGAAAAGTGTTGAGTGTTGAGGCGTCGAATCTTTTGCAAAATAAGTATCCTGAAATACCATATATGGAGGTTTTTCATAAGGAGTCGCAGCATGGAAGTGTTGTAGCCAAATTTGAATGTTCATCTGCTGTGATCTGTTTGGACGTGTCTCCACAGTTGGATTATATGGTGTGTGAATGTATGGACGGAATGCTGCAGCTGTGGTCACTCCAGACTGGTAGGCTAGTGTGGACACGTCGAGTCGTAGTACAGAAGAGTTTCAAGTGGATCGGCGACTCCGTGCTTAGAAATTTACCTTCAGTAATCGGGTCGTCATTTTTCCGCTCTGTTGTTTTCCATCCTACAAAGGAATGTATTTTACCTGGGATTCTAAGTCAGGCCTATACTGTGGACGGAGACTTGAAACCGCTCTTTCCCGGAAGTAACTGTAGATTCTCGGTTTGCTCTATTTCCGGCGACAAGGCCAAGATTCTAACTAATTGTCTTGAGAGTTCTAAATGCCTTGCGATGTGGAGTTTAGAAAATGGCTCAGAGGTTGATCGAATCCTTGAAGATGAAGACATTTTATCTTTTGCATGGTCTGGTGATGCAAGGCTTCTTGTAATTTCACATTCTTCGGGAGTGATTAGTTTGTATGACGTGATGTGTAATTTCAGAAAACTAATACAAATGGCTACCCCAGAAGTATGTGGCATGGTAAAGTTTTCACCTGATCATCGATTAATTTTTTGTTGCGCGGTAAAAGACTTTTATCAAGACTCCTTTCTTTGTCTCAAGGTTATAAAGGAAGCAAGCAACACATTTTCCTTAACGATTGTGTCTGGTGATTCTGAGACTTTTGAATCTTGTAATGACTGTGGGTTTTTATATGGCGATCTTATTTCCACAAAAGGTCGTCAGTTTGGATTGACGTTTGGTCTTGACAAGCAACGTCAGCTACGTTACGTTTGGAATGGAATACAAATATTGGATACCAAATACGTAAACAGAAACGATCAAGGCGTAGCTGCTAAAGCTACTGGGATAGCACTCAGTTTGGATGGTCAGACCGTGTTTGTTGCAAATTTCAAATCAGTCACTGCTTATGACGTGTCCAGTGGGAAGCTTAAAGCTGAGATAAACTGCGGGCTTTTACTATACCGTCCTTTGTGTCCTGTTAGTGATGGAGTCCTAATCTCAACGAATGAAAGCACTGTTGAGTTATGGAGTGGTAACCTCGATAAACGAATCAAAAGGTGGACCAACTTGCCTGGAGTCAAACAAGTGATCCCTATATCAGAGGAACGAGTAGCAGTCGTATAGGAGAGGTTGATGTGAAAGTCCTAGATACAATCAGTGGAAACGTTGTGTCAACAATCCCAGTTTTACAAGGAGAAGTTCTTACTTGCAACAGTAAATGTCAGCTGTTAATTCAAAGGATTCTTGAGAAAACTTACTTTGTTCTTCCTTCGTGCTCTCTTCAGCTTTTGGATGGCAAAACAGTTGTTTGGAGAAAGAAAGGCATTAACATGTACCGTAATGATAAGGCTGTGGCTTTCTCACCTATGGAACAGTTCCTTGTTGTTCGCACGACTGACGGCATCTCAGTCTTGGACCCCGAAACAGGAAACACGCTCCGTACTTTAGGTCGTTCTATATTTTCCTTCTCATTGCATTGTACGTTTATCAGTGACAACACATGTGTTATTTCTGATTATGATTCAACTGTTCAGCTGTTAAACGTCAAATCTGGTGAACTTCTAACTAAAATTGATGTGGAAAGTCGCGTGATCTGTTTAGCAGCCTGTCCCTTCAATCGTCTTCTCGCCATCGGCCTGGAGGACTCCACACCTAATTTCAAAGTTATCAGGGTGCATTTTCCGCGGGGCGAAGACCGTGGATATTGGAAAAGGTAAACTGACAGTAAATTCTAGTATTTGAGTGAGTTTTTTGCTTGAAGGCTTGCCCTAAATGTTACTAATTTATCTCTTTTTTTGTCCATACCTTTACTGTGGATTCATTTGCAGCATACGCGTATAACCAGGCTATTTTCTCGTGAGAAGTTTTGTTGTAATGGGCAAATGCGTCGGTTATACGCACATGCTGTAAATGAATTTGCCCTCTGAATGATGTCCAACGCAGATGTAACGATACCTTATTTCTTATTTTTCTAGCGGTCCCTCTGAAGCCGCGTTGTACAAAGAGAGGTTAGATCCACCAGAGCAAGTATGTTTCCGCGTAGGTTATGGTATAAACTATGTAGAAACATTTAAATATGGATATGAATGTTTAATAGATTCACATCTCACTAAGAACAAATATGTTTCTTTTTAGCTATGGGGAAGTCTGGTTAAATATTCAACTTTTTAATTGACTTTAAAATATGTCATGAATCAATAAATATATATTCTACAACTATCCTGAAGGGGAGGTGAATAGCGGTGCAAAATATACCGAGAAGCGAAGTGTGAAGGTATATATCTAGCGCTGTTCACCGACCCGGAGGGGGATAGTTGTTTTAGTATTTACCTAATCGGTTGGATAAAAAATGGAAAAAAGTACCTTTCTGTAAATTAGAAATGTCACTGAATAGGAATTTTTTTTTACAAACATCCTGGGGATTTTTTCAAGTGCATTTTTACGATTTTGTTGCAAATTCAGCAGGAAAACAATTTTCTACCGATACCAGTGGACACCGACAAAGCAAAGTTTCTTGGTATTTGTTTGTACGACTGCTTCATTTATCGCTCAAATGTCGTGCTCCGAAAATGTCCCGAAGCAAAACGCCATCTTGGCTCCGGTCACAAAACAGTGAATAGCCAAGGATATTCCGAGTTACGGGAGCCAATCAAAACGCGCGAAAAGTGCTGTTCACTGATTTGGTAAATACTAAAATGAAAATCAATTTTTGGTTATAATATTGGACAATACGACAATGGTCAAGGAAGATCAATTAGCCTTCATCAGAAAGCGTTTCTAGTCGAGTTATTGAGTTGGAGGAAAAGCAAAAGAAATGGAAGATCGAAGGGTGAACGAGGAGGGGGAAGGGAAGAAACGCTTGCCCGAAAACCTCGCGATTTTGGAAAACGCCCCTTGATATTTGATATGTTTGGTTCATTTGTAAATTGACAGTTTGTCAACCTATAGCAGCCAGTAGTGTGAATAACGGATAGAGTAGGTTCACGCAAAACGTGGGAACAAATTTGGGTCTAATACAGGATGTCCGCTTAATATACTTGAGCCTAATACAGGTTACATTTTTCTTCAGAATAACCAACAAGCCAATGAAGTAGAAGGAGAACAGCAATCAGAAAATGCGTTAGAGGTAATTAAGGATAGTAATTAGCAGTCACTGAATATGGCTGAGAACGACGGATATGAAAACTAATACAGATCGAGGAGAATAACACCCTCCGATAGCCTCTTAATTATTCATTAAATTATTGAAATCATAGGCGGAAAGCCGAATCCACTAGTTATTTTATTATTCATTTAAAAATATTTCACACTTAAAAGCATGCGTACCTCGATCGATGCCATCATAATATAGGAGAACCGAATCTAAAATTCACGATAGAAAGGGATGTAGTCTAGCAGATAGACTACAAGATCGAGGCGAGCTCGTCTCGATCTTACAGTAAACTTTCACCACGAACATTGTATCGTCCCGGATAACTGCCCCTGAGTCTCCTAGGATGGCAGATATTCTGCCTCAAATACCAGTTGTCAACAGTGCTATTTTTACTGTGCTTGCTATGTTTTTAGGGAACAGTTTGACTATTTTGTTTTTGTAAAACAAAACAACTGCACCGCACCTTCTGTTATCCTTTTTCAGAGCAATTATCCGTAAAAGTGGCTCATCTTTCAGGATTTCGGCAAAAAAAGGAAGCTGGTTGTGAAAAAACGGAATAAATATTCAAACCAATAATAAGCAGTAATTGGATGAGGCCAAGTATGATAAGGAGAATTTTACAGATCGAAGTGTGTGTTATGCGCCCCATCGGCATGAGTGTTCACATTCACATGAAAGCCAGCTGAAGCCATTGGTTTTTATTACCTTTTTTTCTTTCAATATGTTTTAAACTTGAAAACATGCTCACCTTGATCCATGTAAAGGTCCCGTCTTCATAACAATTGTCTGTTTTTTGGCGGTTATAAGATATGAAGTGGTGTTTATTTAAAAATGTTAATTAGCATCTTTCTTGTTGTCAACGTGGAAAATCGTTTGCTATTTTCTCGAGCTATGACAAACACCGCTTAACCACCTCGCCTTCTGCTGATCCTTACTCGGGTAGCCTCACGACTGAGCAAGGTTAAAAGTGAAACAGGCAAGATCTTGTCCAATCGGGATTGACCACTTTGTGCGTGCAGGAACAAAAGGAATTCCTTTAACCATATCACAGGTCGTACAGTCTCTATGTGATCTGTTCAAATTTTGATTTTTTTCAGAAAGTAAGTATCTACTAACGTTCGGAAAAAATTGCGTACACTTTGTGTGTTGCGTCGACTACTGCTGTCTTTTTCTGGAGTCTGAGGCACTTAGAGCTCAAAACTCATGTATTCCATTCGAATTGGTCCAAATTGTCTTCATCAGACTTGCCTGTTACCTTAAATATCGCAGACACCCGTTATTTAATTAGAGTTCGGCATGGCATATGGTATATTTCTTTTCCAGGAAAGGAAAAAAGTAATTCGTTAGCCCTGATTAATTGCGTGAATGTTTTTGATTTTCCTTTTGTTTTGTTTTGGGTTTTTTTTCAGGCTAGCAGGAGTTCTCAAGTTGAGAAAAAAGCTGGTGAGTCTTCTGTTAAAAGGTTTTGTTGTTGTTGTCTTTTCTCTATGTGACCTTGTAGTTTCTTTTAAATGAAATCAGCTTTGTTCGTTGGGTTGGAAAATGTTCAATCAAAAATCGGTTGGGTCCCTCAAGCTCTTTGTTACTTTCTAATTCTTGAATTGTTTAACTGTTCCAGCTTTTTGTTCTCATTATACAGATAAAGGTGCGATAGTTTCTTACAAAGTTCATGTGTATTATCCATGTCTCTTTCATTTTCAGCTGTGTGCTTGTTTGATGACGGCAAAAGAAGATAGTCCTGTCCGTTTGAGCCTGCTCGACAGTTTCTCTGCGGCTTTCAAAATATAATAAATTAGTGCTAATAGACCATTTTCGATATATTAAAATTCACACTTGGCTCCGAGGCTTGGGGGAATAAAAAAAAGTAATGTATGGTTCAATGGTTACTGAGCCTCAAGATGATTTCTTTTGTTTTATTCCCTCAAGCCTTGTAGCCAGTATGAATTTTAATATATCGGAATTGGTTTATTAATTATTAGCTAGGTTCTCGTACATTAACAAAATCTTTGTAAGTAATAGTCTATCTAACTGAGGATTAAACTGTTATATACAAAATTGAATCATGTCTTATGCGAATTTCATTTTGCCCAGATTAAAGCCGGAAAATGTAAAAAAAAAATCAATCTGGCCATTTAATGTAGAATCAGGTGAAAAAATCGGCAAAAGGCGATTGTTAGGGTTTTTGATTAACGAGTGTCTTTGAATTTGATATAGCCACTCACTTAGGTTTTTTTTGCCAAAATAATGTAAAAGTTGACTTAGAAAGTGATCATGCAGTTAATCATTTGTGTAGTGTAGGAGCTGCTCGTAAGGTCTCTCTTAATTGGTCGCAGGAAACAATGACATGTCATTCTTTCAATTGTTTTAGTATTGTTTGAGGTCAGTTTTAGGCACCATTGGTGACTTCTCTTTTAAGCAGCTGCTATGTGACCCAATCATTTGCACGTGTAGTAGTTAGATACTTGCCACACGCAGATTTAATCTTTTAAATCCCATCCGGGCCGACGCCGTCTTGGACCGTATAAAACGATGCTCTCTTCCTTGAATAAACAGGAACATTAATAAAACGTAGGAATAGGGATGCAATATAATTACTGTTGCGTCATTGTTGTGTTTCTTGTCAATAGTGATTTACACCAATGATTGGTTAAAAAAACACTTTGCGCACCACGCTCAACAAAGGTGCTCATAAATTACATAGGTTAGATTAAACTTTGTTAATGTAATGCTATGCTGCAAATTAAACAGTTTTTTTAGATAAAGAAGCATTAAGTGTAATGTTCCCGAAAAGGCAGATTAAATTATCAACTAATTTCAAATTTGCTTTTTAAAGGTAGCGGACACCAATTTTTTTAAGATCGATATTTTTGTTTAAAAAAACGGAAGGCCTCCTGAAAGGACGTTTCAGAAATATATTTTAAACAATTTTTCCCGGAGGATTAGATGTCTTAGATAGGTTTGCGTAGTTAAAAATGGTTAATTGGATTCCCATTCAGTCCGGGCCATAACCATTTCTGGATACTCTATGACGTCATAAAGAAGGGCTTCTGGTGCCGACCTCGAGGAAACTCATTTACTTCTTTTCTTTGAGCTGTAACAGATTTAATCCTCAGCGATATACCATGAAACCTTGCGAAATTAACGGCAAAGAGGGACGAAATAGAACAAGGGAATATGTGATAGCTTCGGTTGTGATTGGCCAGAAATTCTGTGGAAAAATCGAGCAAAGGGGCCGCTAAAGGGCTTTCAGGGAGGGGACCGATTGAGGAGTCGCCTCTCTTAAGTTAACGTTTTCAGGTATGTAGCATTTTTTTGTTTCCTACAAAACGTATTTTCAAAAACTAGAATAAATGGTTATGGCCCGGACTGGTATTTGTAGAATTACATTCAAAAGAGGATAATCCCGTAAATGAATTAGTTAAGCAAAAAAAATAGGACTCTAAATGATAGGAATAAATGTGACTTTTTATATTTTGCAAAAAGATTTATTTCCTTTTTAATGTCTTCAATACATTCAGCAAACTGCTGTCAGCCTGCATCGCAGACGTAATTTAACCTCAGTCA